CGTCGTACGTACGTACGTACGTACGTACGTACGTAACGTAGTACGTTCGTTCTTCTTCTTCTCTCTCTCTCTCTCTCTCTCTCTCTCTCTCTCTCTCTCTCTCTCTCTCTCTCCTGTGCACAAACAATTATGTGAATTATGTTATTTTTATCGAAATTTACATTTTTCTATCTTTTTATAGACATTCTATTTAATAAACTATGCCTTACAATTCATCGTTTGAATAATTCTTATTTGAAAATTCAATTAAAATTTTCTAAAAATAGATTTAATTCAAAATTAAATGCAAATATCGCATTTATCTACGACCCAGTGACACTATGGGAATACAATTCTAATCGATATTACAATGGAAACATCGTATAAATAATATCGTAATAAAAATAGATTATAAAATATGAAGTACGAGATATTATATCTTCCGTTACGAGATATAACGAAAAAAAAGCAACCGAAAAGACGTTTCCTATCTTCTCCAATATCAGAGATCTCATCCCCGAGCGGGATACTTCCGCGATTACGTTCGACAACCCTCTGGATATTCCTCTCCAACGAAATGTCAGCGACTTCTTGAAATTCCAATAGAAGATCTCGAAACGAGGCAATTCGACTGTTGACATACGAGCGGCAAAGAGGGGTTAACGGTTAGGGAATGATTAATAAAGATGCGCGGGCACGCGTTCCACCGGATATAAGGCCCACACAAGCCCACCGTGGACGTGTATGTACTTACTCGAGTCTACAAACGCGTCCCTCTATCGGCTGCTTCTCGCCAACTACAGAAGAAAACACGGCACAGGGCCGCGGTAGGTGAGCCGGTGTGCACCATCGGGACGCGTGCGCTCGTGTATCCTCAAGGAATACACACACACACACACATACACACACACACACACGTGGCCAGAAGGAGCAGTAACAAGAGGAGGAGGAGGAAGAAGAAGAAGAAGAAGAAGAAGCGAAGAAGGAGAAGAAAGAGAGGGAGGAAGAGAAGGAGGACGCGCGTCCACGTGCATAACTCGGACATAAAACAGGCTCGCTCGCGCAAACCACGGCCCCGTGCTGGGGTACGGATGGGCTAACGGATGGACAGACAGACGGACGGATCGACACACAGCACGCGCGCATGAATATGTAGGATGTCTGGAAAAAAAGACGAGGAAAAGTGGGGGCGGCAAACACTCGACGCGCATAGTAATCGAAGCCGCGTCATGCCAATAACATCGCGCGCCTAATGTTCGATCGATCGATCGGCTGACTCGCCACTACAGGGTTTTCCTTGACTCTATGGTAAGTATACGCCGGTGCGCACGCGCGTCGCGCATGCGTATATACGCGATAGGTTGGCGCGCGCCACAGTCCACCGAAGAGTTGATTTACGGTGTCTCTATAAGAAAAAAAATGGTGGAAAAAACGATACGATAGAGAAGAGGAAAAGAGGGAAGGAGATAAGTGAAGAAGGTATAGGAAAAAAGACGGGGAGAAAGAAGAAGAAGTGGATTGGAACCGATGGTAGCGGGGAATGAAACGAGGGGAGACGCGTGTGCCGCGTACGAAGACACGCGCGAATAGCCGTGCTAAAATGGGCGCGGGTAGGTGGCTTACACACGAGCCGGAGTTTACAATTTTCTGCACGATGCTCGTTCGAATGCCTGTAACGTTGCGGATGCCAATTGCCGATAATTCAAGCATGTACCTACCCACGATATAACGCGTGGCTGCAGACGCTGACAGATTGCTGGGTACCGGGACAAGCCCTCTCAGCGCCGGCCCTCTTTTAGGCGCGCCACGTTTTGGCGCGTTCACGGGCGACTTAAAAAAGCGTTGCGCTCGAGATAAAAATTTGATTTCGACTTTGATCCTTATATAACGTATATCATAACTATGATGTATACTATGTTTTTTTAAATAGAAATATTACGTTATTCTTCTATTATTCTGAATCCGCGTTATTGGACAACGTTTTAACGTCATTCTATCAATTAGACAACAATTTAAAGTTTTGGAAATCTCTGATCAATAATTGATATTTCATGCCATATAATTTATATTTTAAAAGTATATATATATATATATATTTTTTTTAATATTTATCAAATCGAACTATACGTTGCAAGTAATAAACATAAATCACATTTTACAACAAATATCGCAAAAACACTTAAATATAACCCTTTATAGACTCTCGAATAGCAAAGGTAAATTATTCATTCCACGTTTAAAATCCAAGTTTTAAACGAGTTGTTCGCGAAAGCATTTGTTTTCTTTGGTGAAGCTTTAATCGAAAAATAGCGACGACGATGGAAGGTACATACAACCTCTTGACTTCCAATCGCGCATATGCCTTTTAATATTAATGCACTACGTTGGCACCTACGTAAGGAAGCAAGCACACGTCGAGTCGCAACGGTGAATTTACGACGTATTAAATTGCGCTACTCGATATCTTTGTAATTTTCTCCGATGGGCATAAAACTACGTGCTTACGGCCGAAGGAAATAGTCGACCCGAAGGATTCGGCTTTGAACTCATGTTCCACGAGTAAGTCTAATTAAACCCGACCACTTGAATGAAAACAAAGACGTAAAGTCCATCTTTTTCCAAGTACAATCCCTTTCTTATTATATCCTTCGATATTAATATGTATGTACTTATTATTATTATTATACGTTGCAAGAGCTACAAAATATGCGAGAAAAAAGAAAAAAATGAGATTATTTTTTAACACCAATCAGTTTAAATGAGAAACTCGAATTCTAATTATATCGAATTTTGTCTACTTACTTACTTATTTTATATGAAAAGTTTTTCTAATAGATTTTTTTTTTAAATTTTTGGATTATTTAACGATTCCAAATTTTTGTCGAGTATAAATTAATAATCGATCGAGTATAATTTTTATAAATTTCAATCAATGTAGATCGAAACGGACAATACAGAAGATTTTCAATGTGTGTGTTCAAACACAGAGGAAGTTTCGTGGCGAAGAAAAATTTCGCGTTCTCTTTGTTGCGCTCGTATCTCCATTCACGTGTTGATCACGTGACGAGTAATTAAATTAATAACAACACCAGCATGAAGAGAGTTTTCCGACTTTCTTATTCCCAGAGTTGTCTCGCGACCTCTTTTCAAAGTGAAAAAAGATTTTACAACCTATCTAACTGTTTACAACTGTGAAAATATCGCCGTTTAGTTCTGTATGTTTATTTATTTGTTTATAAGCATATATTATGTTAATTTATGACGTTGTAATTCCTACTTTTCCGCGATCCCTTATCTCGAAAATAATTAATTACGTTTCGACATTATGGTATGCAGGAACGATTGGAACGATCGAACGTGGCAAGACCTTTCTAAATCGTTTCTTTCGTACGCGTCCCAGAAATGTTTCAAGAAACAAATTGATACCGATTTAATCTTAGATATATATACTTTTCTCGCTCCAAAAAAACTCTCATCAAATTTCACAAATCACAAAAAAAATCATTCGTAGTTTTAATTATCAATAAAAAAACACCTATACGTTTCCTTCAACTATTATATAGAAAATTTTCTATCGAACAATTACACGAATAAATCGGGAAAAAGAAAAAATATTGCAACATCGAAGAAAACCAAAATTCTAATTCAACGAAAGTGAAGAACCAAGGATGGAGGGGATTAAAAAATTTTAAACGGAACGTACGAACTTACCGAGCATCTTACTGAGATCGGCGTTGTGGAGATCAGGATTCTCGTCGGCCAATTTCTTGCGCTCGACCTTTGCCCAGACCATGAACGCGTTCATCGGGCGACGTATCCGCTGCTCCTTCAGGCTCCTCTGGGCCGTGCTGCCTGGATGGCACATCTTCACTCCTGCGGGAATCGGCGAGATTCCTTGCTGGTACTCCAGCGACGGACCAGATGCGAGCCAAGACATGTCCTCCAATCGCTGCTGCGCTGGTCCGCTCAACATTCCCGGTATCTGCAAATCCGATTCAACTTTTTAACAATTTTTCCAAATACCCTTTCCCGATTTTCCAACCCT